ACCGAGAAACTTTTTCTAGTACATAATGTACAATGTGTAGATTAAATATTTTTATCTGTACATTACATTTTTATAAAGGCTATTCACATTGCTCTGAATCCTCAGCTTACCTTGCTTCATGATAGTCTATCTAAAGCTAACCTTCCACCAACATTAAGGATCCTAGTTTGTCTCCTTCCCTGTCAGATAAGCCCTGGCTCTCTGACTCCCTCACTTCCATCTTCAGTTATTAGTTTCCTCTTTCTCCCTGGGTTCTCTGTGTTCAGCCACCTTCCTGCCTGACCCTAACCCCATTTTTTTTTTTTTATTCAACCCTTGAAATATGTATGTGAAAGTTCAAATTTTGTTAATGGTTTCTCATAGCCCATGTGATAAAACGTCTACTTCTGCCCAAAAATCTGGCCTAAACTACTCAGACAACTTTTTCTTCTACTGTGTTTGCTTAAGCAACTGGTCTATTTACTGTTCCTGATACATTCACACAGTCCTCCCTCTGTCCTTCACTTGGGCCAGTTCTGCCTGGGGCCCTCTTCCCCTTGATGGAAAAATCCTGGTGTTGTCTTCTAGCCTCCTCAAAGCTTCCATGCCCAGGCCCCTGCCCTTGGTGGGCCACACATCCTTGTCTGCACCATTCATGAATGAACATGGCCTTGAATTGCTAGGTCTCTTATGTTATGCTTCAAGGCCTAACTAAATTATAAACCCATTCTGGGAAGAGCGTTTGTGTTTTAGTTCACGTGTTCCCAATAGCCAGCAACACAGCACAATAAACGATTGCTCCGCTCCTGAAGCAGTCCTAGCTTCAGGCATATACATGATACTACATTTGGACCGTTAAAAGACTCTAACTTGAATAAAGATAAATAGAGAGCAATAAGAATACAACAAATAGATTCACTTGTCAAGAAACTATGAAATAGCTACAGTAAGGCTTATCCTCCAAGAATAATTTGTTCTACTAAAGAAAGTGCTCAGCTATGTACTTACAAGTTGTGAACAGATACAGTCGTTTTTGGTGTTTTCTTATTAAGCAGGTCTAGAACAATCTGTATTAAACCAAAGGTTACCTGCTTTGTTGTTTTTTAATATTTTTTTTATTGATTTCAGAGAGAGGAAAGGATAGGGAGAGAGAGAGAGAAACATCGATGATGAGAGTCATTGATCGGCTGCCTCCTACACACCCCCTTGAGGATCGAGCCCGCAACCCGGGCACGTGCCCTGACTGTGACCGAACTGTGACCTCTTGGGTAATGGGGTCGATGCTCAAACACTGAACCACACTGGCCGGGCCTGCTTTGTGTTGTTTTTTTTTTTACTTTTTTCTTCCACCCAGTTAAAATTAAATAGTCAGCAAAAGTCTCAGTGCAAGTAGGAGAGAAAACTCTTTCTTTTTCCCCCTTAAATTGTTAAATATCCTTTTTCTCCCCTAAAGGAAGAAGATCCTAACAACGCAATGAATAAAGAGAGACAAAAGTCTTCAATTAGATCGAAACTGTTGAGACTGCAAAGAGATATTGAAAAAGCCTCAAAAGACCGGGAAGGTGTGTCATTCTCCCTGTGAACAGCCTGATGGGGAAAGTATTTCCATTCAGAGTCGGGTGGTTCTGCTTTTGCTGACTGAGTCAGGGATCACCTCATTTAAAGAACTGTGTGTCAAACCTAATTTGTGTGAGTAAAGAAAAATTTTAAAAAAAAAGGAGAGAACAAAAACACTGAAAATGACACTTTGATCTGTCTGGGAGAGCTATAGAAGTCCTATACCATCTTTTCCAGAAACATAGCATTTTACTATGTTTCTGGCATTGTCTGGAATAAGGGACAATTCCTTTGGTTTACAACAGAGTAAACCTGTGCACAGGGCTTTAGGTTTTCTTGCTTGTTTCCTTTTAGACTGACTCTCTACACAATGTAAAAATCATTCAGGTTACACCCTGTACTTAGAAGTGAGGCCTGTTAGAACGTGAAACTCTAAAGCGATGCAGGCGATAAAAACGACTCCCCACTTGTGATCTCCATGTGTACAGCTTATTTTATGTGAACCAGAACAGCATATTGTAGTGGAATACTTGACAGGAAATCCGAGAGAGCAAAAATGTTTCCACATGTAAATACCATAGTGAGGGAAAGCCTAACCCTGTGGTAAACGTCAGGAATCCACCAGGAATGGGTCAACAAGGAGGATTCATAAATTCATCTCAGAAAATAACATTCACGACTCTAAGCATCAACCAGCACTTCTCACATTTCATTCAATGAAGGGAAAGCTCACCCACTCAGTAACATTGAGTAACCACAACCCTCAGAAACAGCCGTTTAGGAGATCCTTGTGGGCTCAGGCTCCCATGGAGTGTGACCTCCCTCAGCTCCATCCCTCCAGGACAGGAGGACAGTGACTGAGAGCATGATTTCATTTTCAGGACTTCGAACTATGCTGAAAGCTTACTCCGGCAACTCCTTCTCAGACCCAGAGAGCCAGAAAAGCACAGCAGCCTTAATGGAAGAGGTAAATACTTGCGGAGAGTGGTTTCCTAGATTTAATGATGAAAGAGTTATTTTTAGATGCTTGTTTTCCAGCCCATTTGACCTCTGTTTGCCTTTCCTTTCTCATGACACAGAACAATCTAGTCAGATAGTGTGTAGGGTCAGTTCCTTGGCAAGCAGTTCGAGGGATCTGGAAAAATCCAACTACTTAGAAACGTTTGCTTTAGTGTCCTCCCAGGGGAAAAAAAAAAAAGTGCCTAAAATAGAATTCTCCAAAATAGAATCATTCCTTCCAGGGTCTGGAAACCATGGGTACTTTTAACCCAGTTAAGAACCGTGACCAAAAACGCAGGTTCTACATTCAGAAAGGCCTGCGTTTGCATCTGCCTAGCTCTACTGTTTACAGGAACCTGGGATAACTTTAGATTTCTCATCTGTAAAATGGAGATATTGGTACCTACCTCTAAGAGTTTCCATGAGGATTAAATATCATTTAGAAAATGCTAGCACAGTATGCAGAGGAGAGCTGAAAAACTGATTATTATTAAAATGCTGTTTCCCATTCATTCCTCAACTAACATCAGGGTCTCCTGAGAATAACAGGAGGAACGAACATGTAGAGATTGATGGACAGAGTGGCAACTTTGGAGGAACCCACATCAAAAAAGCAGTTAGCAAAGGCCCGTGAATTTTATACAGGAATAAAAACAAACAGATGCTATTACCCATGTGTGCAAGATAGGGCTTTTCTGCTGTGATTAGACTGAGAGGAAGTTGACTGGTTATCTTTTCTGAGAAAAATTCAGAAGAGATAAAAAATCTTGGCAATATTTTGAAGGATTTAATGTTTTGAAGGTGGACAAGCCTCCCTTACCTTGAATATAGCCTAACTAATTCTCTTGGGAGTAGGTACCTAATAATTCTCTCCAAGCAGGCAATTTCACTAGTTCTTTGGTGAAAATAGACAGCTATATCCAGGCACAGTTTACCTATTTTACCGCATACCCGGGCTTCCTTTAGTGGGGTGCTGTTGCTGAAACAAACCTAACACTTCTTGTGAAAAGAAAAGCTTGAATTCTCTTTATCTGCAAACAGGTCTAACATAGTTGCAATAACACATGGCTACAATTTTTACAAAATTATAAAAGACTCTAGGACATTTTCTTTGACAACACAAACTATTTAGTTAACTAATTCAATGCAAATAATAGTACCAAAATAAAGTCAAATGAGCACTTTATGATGGTGTTAAGTTACAAGTATATTTCTTCGGTTGTTCCTGCACAGAATTTTGTCATTGTCATTACCAGCATAAAGCGTGTATTAGGATCAGCTGGGAACACAATTGGACTGATTCACACAGTGGAGGATGCAAGAAGGGAGAGGCTCTCACCCTTAAATTCACAGTGTTTGTGATCTAGGGAAGGAACAAATACAAGCCTTCAGATAATGGATGCCAAATGCCCACGTAATTTCACTACACACCTCTGCATCCGTTGGAGGGAAAGTTGTCAGTAGATTTTGCCTTACCCACAGAAGTTTTCTTGCAAAAGGACACTCTGTTTCACTTAAATTCTTCCTAATTCATTGCTTTTTGATCCTTAAAGTGCTAATTTTGAAGCAAAAATGTTGGCAAGGCATGCCAACATTTCTCTGAGCAACTGTTGCAGGGCTTGTCTTCGGATATGGGAAGGAGTGTCACATAGAAGAGGAAAGAGACTTGCTCTACAATGCTTTCTAACGCACACTAGTTCTAATGGTAGAAGGTAGGGGGGTTCATTCCAGTACAGTGGGTTGTTCCAAGGATTAGAGACCTTCCTTATCGATTGGAGGTGTTTGGCAGGGATCTTAGGGTTAGAAATCCCCATGCTGGGCATATGGGAAGGGAGAGGTGATGGTGAGGAGGAGAGTACGTAGGCAGGCCCTTTCTAATGCTTGGATTCTGTTATTTGATTTACCCTGGCTGGACACAGCCCGACAAAGAAGTCATTACAAAGTTTCTAGTTCGGGGTTAAATAGAGAACAGGAAGAGCCTAAGCATGTATCTTAAGCTTCAGTCTTTATTTTTATAATCAAATACCCTAGAATATTGCTTCTAGTTTCCAGAAGTGTTACTGCGAACTTTCTGGGTGATATAAGACCTCACCTCTTCAAGAAAAACAATGAACAATATCAACCAAAATAAATTTTAAAAGCCCTGCCTTGCATCATTTCACTTGATTCTATTGATCCGAGTCCGGCTCTCTTCACAGTGCTGAGCACCTGAGCCTCTACTGCTTGTCCTCACGGCCTCCCAAAAGCCTGCCTTCTGCAGTCAACATTTAGTATTCCCTGTCTCGTTGCTCAGCAGGAAATTGAATAAAGTTATTCATTGCTAAAAAATACTGAGTAATATATCTATCAAGGTTTCTGGTTTACCCCATTTATAAGAATCTAGAATAATTCATGCTCAACAACTAAGGCTTTCCTCTAGGAAAAGGGTCCGTTTCTTCGCTCAGCGTTTTCTGTGTGTGTCTGCCTATGAGTTGAATGTGTACTTTCCCAGACCTCGTTGTCATTTTGGAAGTTATCCTGATATCCTTTCACCCATGCAGTTGTGCCTCATTTTCTAGAAATTTATTCACAAGGCCAAATGATGTATCCACAGACCAACTTGAAACTAGACCTGTTGCAAGCAAACGCCTATAAACTGTCATCAGTGTTAGCAGAACTTGAGCAGAGACCTCAGCCCAGCCACCCTTGTAGCAACTCCATCTTCAAGAGGAAAGAAAAGGTAAACATTTAAGATATTGGTTATAATTTCTTGACTGGGTTTGCTAGGTGAAGTGGCTTAAAGTAGCATGGAGCAAAAAGGCTTCTATGAATTATATAGGCCATATGTCCCAAATCTCAACTGCAGAATTTTAAGATAAATTTAGTTGTTTTCCTTTTGAGTGGAGTAACAAGAGCTAAACACAACTGAGTGCATTCTTTGCATATGAAATATGAGGAGCTGAAAACCCCTTTGGATACCTTCTTCTTCCTACTCGAACCTTAACTTTATCCTCTGAATGTGATTTTATAGTAAAACTTCTATTAAATTGAAATTTTAGTATTATTCATACAGACCTAAATTATGTGATATGCATTAGTCGCATCCATTTATGTGATATGCATTAGTCTCATTGTTTAACATACTACACAATGTAGAAAATGTATGAGCACAATTTTTAAAAATCACATACATGTATTTTCACAGTGTTACCCTCTTTAGGAATGGATGGTGAATCATGAATATGCATAGGTTAACTACTGCTTGTAGTTGTTTTCCATTCCCTATCAGAAGGGGGCGCTGTAACCATCTTGTAATGAAGGGACAGTTTTCTTTCTAAGAGACTCAAGAGCTGGAAAATGGTCTCAATCAAAAAAGAAAGAGAGAAAGAAAGGGAGGAAGGGAGGAAGGGAGGAAGGGAGGAAGGGAGGAAGGGAGGGAGGAAGGAAGGAAGGAAGGAAGGAAGGAAGGAAGGAAGGAAGGAAGGAAGGAAGGAAGGAAAGAAAAGAAGAAGCTATGAATGTTATTATTTTGCCTAGGTACAGGTCAGAATAGCAAATACAAGTTATAAAATATGGTAATCATCTAATTCTGAAAATATTAAGGCTTCAGATACAAGCAAGCTCTGCAGTAGGCTTTAGGAACATAGTTAATGCTTTATTTACACCTTCCTCCAAAAAATTAAAAAACAAATTCTTAAAGAAAACAGCTACAGAAGAATTATTTTTCATGAATACTTGTGCTGTTAAAAATGACTTTTTCAAAAAATTTTATTTGAACAGCAGCAGACACATAGTTATGTAAGAATATCTCGACCTTTTCTGATGAAGAGATCAGAGAATGCTGTGAGAAGGGCATCTACTGGTGGGCAGAGCAATCCAAGTTCTTCATCTACAGGTAATCCCATGCCAGAATCCTTTGGGGCTAAGTCTTACCAGTAAAGGACATTGTTATATTTACATTTTATTTTCAGAGCCACATTGATATATATCAGTTCAAAGAAATCTACATTCAAATGAAGGCTCATTAATTTGTTAGAATTTGTAGTTTTCTATGCAAATGTAATCCAAAAAGCTTGAAGGAGTCAAGAAGACTGGAGGGTTGGGAGAAGAATTTTATAATATGAGATGGCTGGTTCCATGTTATTCAGGCAGCCTGCAATTGCTGTGCACACAATCACCCCTAAGCCATTGGGGGTGCTCTGAGCTCTGTCTCTGTAGCCTCCTCCAAACTTGCACGTGAGAAACATACTGATCCCAGGGCCTACTCACCCCCTTTATTCAGCTACTTGACTTTAGTCATTTGTCCACCCACACCCTACTACCTTTTACCTTTACACACGCACACACACACACACACACACACACACACGTACATTATTGTCCCTCATAGTTCAACTATATTTACCATAACTTCGACTCTCTAGTTTCTTGATTAGAAATTGGCCAAAAGAAGAGCTTCAATAAAACCCAGACATTATCGTCCACATGGTCTATTAGAGACTCACATGGCACTGTTTGAGAAATAGTTCCATACCTACCTAGGGATGACGGTAAGAGGCACATGCTCCAAGTGTCCCCTGTCCATACCCGAATGGCATACCTTGCATATGTCTTCCAAAACATGCGTACCACACATATTAGCTAACTGATGTTGATTAAGTTTATGTGGGAAGCAAATAATTTTTTTAAATTTATCTTTATTGTTGAAAGTATTATAGATGTCCCCCTTTTTCCCCCTATTAACCCCCCTCCTCCCTGCTTCCATCCCCTCCCCAGGCCTTCACCGAACTATTGTCTATGTCCATGGGAAGCAAATAATTTTAAATCTTCATCTTTATTACTATTATTATTATTACAATAACTTTTTTCTTCAGACTTATTTTCTATATTTTAATATAGTTGCTGATTATATAATATACACAGTCCATACACAAAGTAGGTACTTCATAAATGGTTACTGAACCAAGGAATAAATAGCATATAAAATTATAAACTTTTCTTTTGAGACTTTGATATATTTAAGCTCTGCCCCACACTGCTAAGTAACTAAAGAGCTGCCTATTGTATCCTCTTGCTTACTGACACAGCATTGGTAATTATAACTTGATCCAACTTTCAGCCTCCGGTGTGGCCCAGCATGGCAATACTCTTTGCAAAGCCTTATATTCTTTCCAAGCCAGGCAAGAGGATGAATTGAATTTGGAAATAGGTAAGACTCATTCTCAAATGTTTAATTGCCTTCCTCTATTGAAACCCTTAACTTGAATAAAACTCCTGTCTTAGAACAGTAGCCTTAAATGTTACTACCATGTCAACTCAGCTCAGGTTTACAATCACCCTTCTTAGAAGATAAAGATAAAACACATCAAAAATAAAGCTCACGTAATAAAAATAGGTGACGTCTATTCAATGTTTACTGTATGCCAGACATTGCAAGCACATTATCCAATTTAATATTCATAAAATGATCCCACGCCAGAATCATTTGGGGCTAAGTCCTATCAGTAAAGGACATTGTTATATTTACATTTTATTTTCAGAGCCACATTGATATATATCAGTTCAAAGAAATCTACATTCAAATGAAGGCTCATTAATTTGTTAGAATTTGTAGCTTGAATTTGAAGCAAATAATTTTAAATCATCTTTATTATTATTATTATTATTATTATTATTATTATTATTATTATACCCTTGGAAGTGGGTATTTTCTTGCTGAGGAGACTGAGATATAGAAAGGATAAGTACTTTGGCTGAAGTCACAGGCAGCGGCAGTGCAGGATTTGAACTTAGAAACTGGGTCATGCTTAATGAAGAGTGAGAATGGCGGCAATGGAAAGTCATTAGAGAGGTGACCCCAACTTCTTCTTTTAAAAAAGCTAGGCAGGCAGGAATGTGAAGTGACCTCCTCTCACGGCTTAGTGTGAGAGCAAGTTCTAGGACTCGAGCAAAGGACCCCCCAGCTTACTGTTTCTCCCACTTATCTCTCAGGAAAGTGTTTTACGGCCAGTCTGAGGAAACAGAGCCCCTTCTTTGTGTCACAGATTATTCTTTCACATGGAAAGTTATTACGTAATGGGTTCTATAGATTAAACAAGAAAACAACGTCACTAGCTTCAACTTTCCTTGTGTGTCCAGTTAGAGACCACATTCGGATGTAAAAGCTAAAGCAGAGACCTGGAAATGAAAAGGTTAGTGAGAAAGAGGTGTGTCATAGGAGAAAGCTTTCATCCATGGGCAGGACGTGGCACCCAGAGCCAGGGGAAAGTCAAGATGGATTTTCACAGTCAAACACACACCACGTAGTTGCTGTTGGTTAGTGGGTGCTTCCTCCGCGGTTTGCCATTCAGATTTCTCCAGGCCATTACTTTTCCTTCTAATGCAGAAATTGGTAAAGACAGGAAAAAAGAAAATAGAAAGTAGACCCTCTCCTCCATTCTTCTTAAGTCAATGTTGCCTTTATTTAAAAGTTTTAAGTGTTATAGAAGTCATCTCATTACTCACCATGCCATCCTGAGGGTTCCTAGGGCAGCAAGTACGTAAGTGAAATGCTGTATTCCAAACACATTCCCGATGCCGTCTAGAACCTGGGCTCCTGAGTTTGAGTTGCATAGTTACACAATAAATAGATCATCTTGTTTGTCTTTAGTTCTTCCTTGGTTGCAAAGCCTACTTATACTTCATATCCTAAGTGGGTTCTATAAATGAAATGAGACATTGGGGGCTTAGGGAAACTGGCAGTAAGATTTTAAATTATCCATTTGAATTTCTGTTAGTAGACTGTGTCATTCTGACCTGAGAAAACTCATTAGAGGGTGAACTTAAGTTGAAAATGATCTCCTCTAAGAATAAATAGTGATTTATGACTGAGGAGAGATAGAAGAGGGGTTAACAGTCTCCTTTGTCTTAAGAAGAAAATGACTGGGGAACAGAAAAAATTAAAGAAAAAAAGACTGAAAAATTACCTTAGAATGATGCTCAAGATAAAGTAGCTTTGGGATCCTGAAGGAGGTAGATGTTTTCACTTCGATGTGCAGATAGCAGCCAGAAAGAAAACAAAAGAGGACAGCCAGAGGATTTGGGGCACCAGTTAAGGTTTAGGGTTATTAATATCAGAATAATATTGTTTTAAATAGAGAATTAGAGAAGAGCCATGTATTTCTTAGGAAATCTGTTTATTTGAATCGTGGTTTTAAAAAAGTTTTGTCTTTGAATTGATATTTTATTAAAGTTACCTAAATTCTGAAGTTATATTTAGTGCAAAGCTATTAGGTGAACTTTAGTCTATGAAGCTGGCACATATAATGGAGAGAGGTGGTCTTGCTCTAAAGGAATGTCTGGTAGCAAAGACAGTAATCAACATACCAAACTATGGTGGCCACCAACATGAGAAACCCTTAAAGCACAGATACCAAGAAAGGGTTTGGTGACAACCCATCAGCTCTATTCAGAGTGAGCTAGCCAGCATGAGAAGGACTTATGTTTGAATGTGAATCTGTTGTTAATCAAATTCTATTATGCCATAACTTAGCTGTCCGTTATCTTACTCTTTTTAATATGCTGTGTTGTGCCTGGCTCATACAGAGGTGGTCAATAAATTTCTGCTTCATCTGAATCACCTGCAGAAAACAATGCTACCAAGTAACTCCTTGAAAGCAGACTCTTGAAAACTGTCTCACCAACTGGGCTCAGGCTCGTGCTTAAACTACAGAGACCCATTTGTCTAACTAAATGTGCATTTTCACAGGTGACATTGTGACTGTACACAAGAAACAAGAAGGATGGTGGTTTGGATCTTTAAATGGAAAAAAAGGCCACTTTCCTGCAGCTTACGTGGAGGAGCTCCCTTCAAACGCTGGGTACATGGGCATAAAACAAGATTCTCAACACACCACCTTACACACACTGTAAACCATACAATGTGATGCAAATAAAGATAAATGCTGTGATCTTCCCAGGTTTATTGTTCTAAATGAGTGATGGAGTCCTACCTGCATGTGACAGCACTTTGTACTCTTGGTTATTTTTTGAAACAAAGTCAGAAGGTGGAGGATAGAGGGAGGCAGGGAAGAGGCTCAGGGTTCCTACAGTTAGAGACCCTGGAGATGACCCAATACAGCCCCTGGTGTTACAGAGAAAGACAGACTCTAAGGCAGGTTTAGTACTTGCATGAAGTCACATAGTTTTCTGGCAGCACAACATATTCTAGGACTCAGATGTCCTTTTCCTCTGGACTTGGGTGGCAATAGGCCACAGTAGGCCTACAGGGGCTCAAACAGGTCCTGGGAGATGAGGAACACATTGTAATTACATCCAAGAAGATGAGCTCAGCAGAAGACAGGCAGGCAAGACACTAGTGATGTAGACCCAAGTTAGGAGACTGTAGAATAAAGGATCAGGAGCTGAGGTCGAGTCGCATGATCACGGG